TACAAGTCTGAAAACAACAAATTGATCATAACAAAGATTACCCTTTTGAACATCATTGTAATTCAGGAAAACACACCTCACAGGTTTTACAAATAATTTATGACATTCATGTCTAGGCAAATGGACAAAACACAAGCAATCAAAAATTTTTAGATGAGAATAATCAAGGACTTTACCAAAAAGAACAAAATATGGACTATCATCTTTGTTAATGGTGATGGTGTTTCTATTTATTAAACAGACAAAATTTGAATGGCTTCAACCCAAAATATTTTAGGAACATGTGATGTATCAATAACAGCTAACATGGTTTTTAGAACATGCCTATTTTTCTTTCTACAATCCCATTTTGCTCAAGTGTATGGACAAGAGTGTTCTGAGGTATTGCCTCTCTTTTTGAAAAAATCTATGAGTTTAGACTTCATGTATTCCCCACCTGAATCAGATCAAATTTTTTTTATTAGTTTATTGAACTGAGTCTCAACATAGGTGAAAAATCATTGTATGATTTTAGAAACTTACTTTTGCTTTCAAAAAAGAACATCAATGTATATCAATAAACATGATCAATAAACAAGATAAAATATCGATACCCCAATCTAGATAAAACTTGTGCAGGATCCCATACATCACTGTGAATCAAATCAAAAGTAGAGTTGTATGAAGTAGTACTATAAGAAAAATGTATTATGGCTTTTGAATTTAGCATAATTTTCACAAGGAAACTTTGATGAAAAAATTCATAATTTCTTATTCAAATGAAGACAATATTGTAACATGGAAGAAAGTTTTTGAGCATGTAGATGCCCAAGATAATGACGCCACAAGTACCATAATTTATTTGAGTTAGTGATGTCTTCTTTAGTGGAACAAATATAACATGCATGGTGAAGTATTTCAAACATGGACAACTGGAACATTCTCCAAACTTTACAACCCTTGTCTATCACCTTCCCTGTCTCCATATTCTGAGCAATACAATCAAAACGTGAGAAAACAACAAGGCAATTCTGTTCCACCATTTGTCCAACTGAAATAAGATCAACAGTGAGTTTGGGGGAAAAAATATTAGTGAAGCAAAATGATTTTTCAGTCTTAGAGATGAAAATTAGATGATTTTCTGAAAGAGTTGATAAAGTGTAAATTATGAATATCTCTTATCATATGGTTAGAAGAAGTCGAATTTATATGCCAAAAATTTGAATTCTTATTTAAATTCTTACCAGGATAGGCAACAGTGAGAACACTGAAAATAGCCCTGCAGAAAGAAACTGCAAAATCTTGTATCATCTTTTGAAGTGCTTTTGGATTCAAAGAAGATGGTGGTGTGATCTTTGCTTGACTCGCATAAGCTTCAAATATTTGATAAGCTTTGTGCTTGGTTTGATGCGTGTTTGAGCATCGATTTCACTTCAGAATTATATGGTCAGACTTCTTACAATAGTTGCATATATTTCTTTTCTTGTAATGTGACGCAATATGGTCATACTCTTTGCACTCAAAGCATTGTAGTCCAGACTTTTGAAATGGGCTATAGGTATATGATTTATGGGTACCTTTTGATGTATACATAGCAACGTCAATTGTGTAGGACCAATTCATGGATGCCTGAGTATTAACGCGTGTCTCCTCACGAATGAGTTCTCCAAAAACTACATCAATGTCTAGAAGAGTTTCTCTATTAAGAATGTTAACTCCAATAGGCTTAAAGTCAGGTCTCAATTTCATAAGAAATTAGACAACTCGAGTCTTCTTCCTCTCAACATAACTTCTTTGAAGCCTGTGGAAGAAAGATTTCCTACAAAGCTTTGGTCTTGTTTTGAGCAGATTACCATAAGTCCCAAATAATAAATCTAGATGTCTTTATCTCCTTGCTTGTATTTCGAAAGAGTATGTTCTAACTCAAAATCATGAGCATGATTGCATTGAGAATATACCTTTTTGAGATGCTTTCACATCTCTATTGTCAAGTTGAATGGACGCAGACTGAGTGCAACATCTGCATGTAAAGAATTGAGGATCCACAAAATGACACGAGCATTGTTAGCGTGCCAAATTTATTTTTATTTGTCTTCTGGTTTAGTTGTTCATCCACCCAAGATTCCGAACAAGCTTTGCCCTTGAACAAAGATCCGGAAATGAAATTTTCACGTCGGATAATTTTTTTCATCAAATTTGATAGACAAAATGTCGTGAGAATGTGACTCCATTAGAAAGATGAGATATCCAATGATAGAAATCAAACAACAATAAAGAGCAAAAAGTATAGTTTATGGGGGAAAATAGGTCCTTATACCATGATGGCAATTGGTAAATCAGGAACCAAAAAGACTTGAAAAATATTTTGTACTTCTATGCTTTACAATTGATAAACTATCCACTATTTATATACAAAGATACATAAATACAAGCATGATTCTAGCACAATATCATATCATATCTCTTGCACAATATCAATGGCGTGATTAATGCATAGCCAAAGTAGAATATTGTCCAAGATCATCTAGAATCATATCAGATATTATGAATCATATCTGATATGGTCAACAATATTTTCTTGTTGAGTCCAGCGAATCTTCTAGCAGCTGATCTGAAACCTCAGTTGAGGAATATCTGATGCGAATCCAAGGGTGAGTTTCGTCTTTCAAGCTTCGAGGGTTTCATCCATATTTTCTTTTCCATTTGTTCGAACACGAATTATTAATTGACTTAGTTATATTTAGTTTGGGGGTTGCCTCTCTAATTAGATTGTTTAGAGTTTTGGTATGGTGACTTTCATATCATAGAGGTTGTTTTCCACATTGATTGTTTTTAGATTATTGAGTTGAGTTTATGGGGACTCAATTCTTTTATGTCTACACCATTTTCCTTGTTTTATATATTTTAGACTTGGTTTTTAAAAAAGGTTTTGGGTTTGGTTCGAGTTATAGTTGGTTCTTCCACCGATTTGCTTATTGTGGATGCCACTCACGACGATATGAATCGTGACATAAAATATATAACAAGAATGTAAATATCAATAATACACGTCGACTAAAAATACTAAAATGAAAAATCCAACTCATAATATATAGTACGAAAAATGTTATTTTGCTTAAGATCAAGTATTAAAAAAATATTTCAAATATACATTGCATACTAGGTTGCATTATCAAATTACATATTTCATGAGAAATAATTTTTGTACATTACTAAAATTCAAAATTCCTACATAACTTATCACAGACTAACCAAAGTATAGCCCTATACATAATATATATATATATATATGTGTGTGATCACGAGATGTCACGATAGTGTGTACGGTAGAAAGGTAAAAAGCAAATTGATCATGCATTAGGAATATTTTAAATAATAATATATTTGAAATAATGATAGATATTTATTTTTCAAAAAAAGAATAGTGATGGAGAGGAAGAAAGGCACGTGTAGAAAGAGAGGAAAAAAAGAGAGGACTGAGAAGTGAAGACAAAGGTGACGGCTGTAGTAAAGGGGGAACTCCAAATTCCCCGTGAAAACTATTTGGATTCATCCAAAATTTACAAAAATATAAACATCTATCTATAATTTTTTTCCCTCCACTACTTTCCATATTATAAATGCCTCCATATAATTAAACTATATATGCATGGATTATTACCATCTCACTGCTAGATGCTTCTTTCTAAATTTTAACTTCCACTAATTATTTTATTATATTTTCCATAGATTGGTAATTTTGAGTTTTGACGCGTAAAATATAATCTAGTTGGAAAAAAAGTCTTGTCCATGGTAATTTCATTTTTTATACTTGACATGACCCTTAGGTTGTTAATAATATATAGCTAGCTAACATTTTGAACTACTTTTATAATGTATTTTAAATTATATAGAGTGATAGAAGAAGATATTTTTATGACATAGTTTTCCTAGTGGCAAGAGTAGTAAAATTATGTAATTGGCCTATAAACAATTTTCATGGTCAAAAGTCAAAACCATTGTTACACACGTTCACTCTCATTAATGGGCGTGGGTATTAATTAATGATATTAGTCATATTACCATGAAAAAAATGATTTTAGGCATTATATATATATATATATATATATCCCCTTCCGAAAAGAGCCTCAAGTTATAACAAGGCATCCTAGCTAATTACTCTCTTCGATCTAAAATAATTGATATTTTAGTTTTGGGTATAGTGCCATGTCTCGCCATTTTGCCAGTCAAATTTTGCATCCGAATAGAGCGGAAGAATCTAGAGTTGTGGAGAGGCAAAGCGAAACTCTAAGTCCGTGACAACGGGACTAAAAAATGAAGTTTGACTAAAATATTTTTGTGGTAGGTTGACATAACTATCAATAAAATTTATAGATGAATTAGGAATGTAGCAAGGGTAATTTTGAGAAAAAGAATTAAATACCTTGTTGATTTTGTGAAACATTAGTCTTTTGGGACCAATCTTTAGAAGCTAAAACATCAATTAATTTTGGACAAGGGGGTGCATTATTGATTATTTCGATTATTGCACATCCAACTCAAGTAACGATAAATAATCCCCTAAGTAACAATATTCAGTTACTTATGACAATTTACCGTATTATGCCATGCTACATAAGAGTTGGTAAGTAAGTAAGTGGCGGTGATACTCCACTTAAGATAAGAAGTCTCACATCGATAAAATACAAGAGAAATATTGGGTATATAAGTAATCACACATCACACTGGTGTCAAGTATTAAAGCCTGTGTGTTTTGGCTCAGAACAGATCATATCACTTGTGGGCTGAGCTGCTATAAAATGGTATAATTAAAACAGACCTTATACGCTAATGACATGTTTTAAAGTTATACGAATTTAGGCCCAGAAAAGACAATATCACCCTTATCGAGAGGATTATACCCTTGTAATTGTAGGTTAATGTTTATTGTTTTTGTCGTGAAGGATATTGAATTATTTATTTATGTGTTTCTTATCCAAAGGGCATCTTTTTTTTATAATAATGTATGAGAATAAGAAATGAACTTGTGATGGGATGAGGTGTCATGGAAGCAAACAAATTAAATTGGGGATATTGATATGAGAGGAGACCTCCTCTCTTATTATTACATACTTTATTTAAAGAGACTTAGCTTTTGAGCTGAGGAAGAGAAAAACATTAAATCTCAGAAAAAGATCAATATAATGGTATCGAGGGAGCAGAAAAGAGCCTCAGTGCTGCATGACAAATTGCAACTTCTTCGATCAATCACTAAATCTCATGCTGTAATTCTCGACTCTCATCCATTCTACATATATTTACTTTCTCTTCTCATTCTTCAACATTTTTTTTAAAAAAAATTGGGCATAGGGGAAGAGAATTACGAGATGGGGAATCAAATCCTAACTGATTAGGTGAAAGTTTAAATAGTCAATCAACTGATCAACTACTAAAATTTCTCTGATTTTTCATTGATTTAGTCTTTTTGGGTCAATTAATATCTTCCTCATCTACTCCGCACCTCAAAGAGAGTAAAAAGGGGAATTAGACATGACATGACATGACATTTATTTGTTCTTTCTTAATTCTATATATGTACACATTCATTTTGTTATACTTTTTGTAGTAGTAAATAGATGAATTATTGATGAATATATATACAAGTACAAAATTACCAAGTTTGAGGTTTCTAATTTTTTAATTTTGACCCTATGAATTGTAGATTTATATTGCTTCTTTAATTTGTTGCAATTCCCAAGTCCAAAGTGTGACTAATTAATTTGCATTTTCATGCAGCTTAGTGAAAGCTCAATCATAGTAGATGCATCAAAGTATATTCAAGAACTCAAACAGAAAGTGGAAAGGCTAAATGAAGACATAACTACTACTACTACCCCTCAAACAAATTCAAACAACAAGACTTCTTCATGGCCAGTAAGTTTTGACTCATCTCCTTTTCTTGACTCTCTAATACTTAAACTTTTTCCAACATATAAAAGTGATCGATCGATCGATGATTCTGTATTTTGTTTTCCAGCAAATTGAAGTGGAAACCCTAGAAAAAGGTTTCTTAGTAAATGTATATTCAGAAAGAAGTTGCCCTGGCTTGCTTGTTTCCATATTACAAGTTCTTGAAGACCTTAGCCTTAACGTCCTTGAAGCTAGGGTTTCTTGCACCGACACCTTTCGTTTACAAGCATTTGGGGGAGAGGTAATTATTCCTTCATCTACGATTACTATTCAATTTTTTTTACAAAAACAAGTGTGTAAAAATTTCATTTCTTTCATGTGTGTTTGACGAATAATTAATCAGTTATTTCTTGACAAACTTGTAGGATGAAGAAACCATGATTAATGCCCAAGTGGTGACAGAGGCAGTTTTTGAAGCTATTAAGAACTGGAGTGAAAGCAAAGAGCAAGGCTAATTAATCAAATATATAATATAGTTTAATTAGCTATTACTATTAATTATTACTATCATCTCTCTTTTCGTTTTCTCTTTAATTTTAACTTTCCCGATCATCTTCCTAGCTAGCTATGATAGTTATATTAATTATCGATAAGGAATTATTGGCTAGTTCATAATTAATTCATCAATTTTAATGGTCAAAGATCATTCATTTTTCCCAGTCAAATGACTCTCCACGGTTCTATTTTCACGTCACATGTGTAATTACAATTTCAAAAAATAAAAATAAAAAATCCCAGCTACTCTTTAATTATTTATTGTGTATACTCTAAATTAGTTTGCTTCTATTTTGTACAAGTTGAATAATTTTATCCCTATTCTTTCAAGTAGTACTTCCTATGTCAGTTTATTCAAATTTAGTCTCCATGAAAGTGGGAAAGGGATAGCCCTTCTAGCTACTTAATTATGTGTGTCTATTACAAGAAGGTACAGTAATTAATTAAATTACTTAAAAGGGACTGATTAATTTAAGCAGATCAAACTTAATAAAAAAATAATTATTATGAGTTGAGGTTGTTGTCTGAGGTACATTAAAAGACAATTTGAAGTGTGTGATGCGTGTATGTGATTTAGACACTTGCTGGTGTTTGTGTTTGTTATATATAATAATTTAAGATTCTAAATGAAAAATAAAATAAGAAAAACAGATATTCAAAAATAATAAATGCTGGCTATTTTACCAACTTTCTGCTGACAACATTTGTTTGAGAAACGCAAAATCTACATTTTATCAAGTACAGTTGGGCCATTCTTGACAGCCTAATATATACCTGTGATAAATGCCAAAAGGTAATCTTTTACATTCAGAAAATGGAACCCTAAGTAAGAAATATGGTTTTTAGTGCAACATTTTTTTTCTTCAATTATTGATGATCACTCATATTGAATTTTCCTCCTCGTGATACATACTAGACAGCAATACTAGTACTAGATTATATTATTTATTAACCATGTGTTAACGGTAAATTATCCAGGATCGGTACTTGGTATCATATGGTATATATAACTCCATATCGAAGGTCATATAATCCTTTACATTGCCTAATTTTTCTATATTTATGCCAAAAATGAATTAAAAGGTATGTATCCTATTATTGAATTTAGAGTAGACACACATATATGTATATATGCTTAGTCATATAAGTATCATGACAATGATGAGTATTAGAATTGAAATTCATCAAATGAGATCTAGGTCAAAATGCTTAACATGCTTGAATTAATGAGGAATAAAAGGAGTTCTATTTTTTGTTAAATGCTTTCATTAAAATAAATATTTGGTATTGTTATGATCAAGGTTAAGTTGGCATGCGCGAACATGATATGATAGTAGTTTAAGCTACATATAAATTATTATTTTTATATTATCATGTTATTGGAAGGATATATTATATAAACGGGTAAGTTTTCTTAAAATATAGAATCTATAATCTTGAAAATAATACAAACTTGTTAGGCGGTAAAAATCACCTAATCATATGAAAATTCATAATTCTTTACATTTACGATATGTATATAATTTAAACCAAGTAAATATTGTCAAACATGAATTTGTGGGGGTAGAAAGGAGAAATATGCAAGTATGAGCTCTTTTATCATTCCTTTCCTATTCATTGAAACATGACACACACTCAATTAGCATCACCACCCTTTTCTTCTCCTCCTTTTCTACTTACTCCCC